TTTTTTTTTTTAATGACTTTAGGGGAAATCTGAATTTCTCTGTAGAAGTAAATTGATAGTTAAGTATTTTTATTTTGTGTGTGTGAGCCAAAAAGTATGTTTGTCCATTCATTTAGTATAGAAGTGCCACATGAGTCATAGGCTGAGGAAATTTCAAAAACCTGAACTTGGGGAAACAAGATAGACCTACAATCTGTGTTTGGTGCATTATTTGCATTGTAGAAAGTTTAGAATCTTAAAAAATAATGATGGCATTTGAGAGAAAGTGAAAGTTGCTGTAGCTGAGCCTCGTTCCCTGTTCATTATGGGTTTAGTAGGACTTAGAGTACTTTCTTAGAGAGTATTATTTTAGATTAATTAATTTAATACCATCTCATCAAACCAAAGAGTTGAGAGGCAAGGAAGTATTATTAAAGAAAGTTTATTGTTTCTTAAACAACCATTAATTTTAATGTACACATTTATATTCCTCCTTCACTTGGGGCACAGCTATCTCACAACATATTGTGCAAGGTACTTCTTAGGTGATTTCCCATGAGAGCAGGTGCCAACTCGTCAAACACAGGCCAGGTTTACTCAATAGGAAGTTTGTAGCAACTATGGCCTAAAACCCTGAGCTCTCACATTATCTTGAGCAATGTCTTCAAGGGTAAGATAAAATTGTTCATCTAAAAGAAAAGTTCATCTAAAATGTAGACATCTAAATGATATGGCAGTATAGATTCTAGCAGGGAGATGGGTCACACATCTTAACATCTTGGTACCTGTAGTGATAGGTATTCTATGAATATTTTGCTCTAAGGAAGGGGTTGCTAAATGAAAAACAAAAGTTCTTTTAGGTGTTTTTCCTTTCATTATCGCTAAAATTTTCAGATTTTATTGTGTGCTCCTGAATTGAGAAAAACAGGAAAAAAACGGAAGGAAAAGCACTAACCGATCCACTTCCCAATGCCACTTGTCCTTGCTATGTTTCGGTTATTAATAGCATTTGCATCTTAAGCAAAATTATGGAAGGGAGGAAAATGCCCTCCTGTAAGGTAAACAGAATATTGTACCTTAATTCATTGTGGCCTTTCATGTAATCCAAAGTTAATGTTGTTCATTAATCTCTTGAACTATTTGACAAGAGGCTAAATGTTTATTTGCCCAGACAGACCAGACTCTTCTGTTTTCTCTAGATTGTGATACCATTCTTCAGTCTCTTAATCAAAGATATTTATTTCCTCAATGAGGGCTGTGCCAATCGCCTTCCAAACGGCCACGTCAATTTTGAGGTGAGTGTGATTAAAGGAGCTTACAAAAATCCGAGCACAGGGAGAGGAGCAGCTTCTCCAACCTTGCATCCCAGACCAGGCAGCCA